AAACGTTTTAGGTCGAAACTGAGCAAAATTAGAAAATCTGATTTTTTTTCTCTTTTGGCCTGGTTTAGGATCAACATCGACCGATCCACATGTGGATCGATCGATCCGGTCGTCAGAAACGCAGCCTTCGGTCGATCCTGGACTGGCCCGACGTTTTGCGTAAATTCGGATCGGTCGATCCTGGGGTCGATCTTGAGGTCGATCCTGGAGTCAATTTCAGCATTTTTGTTCCTTTTCTTCATTTCTTTGTTTCATCTTGCTTTAGACTCGTTCCAAACGTATTTCAACCTGCAAAGACTCTAAAAACAAAAAAAATACTCGATAAAACACTAAAAACACGGGTTAGAATGCGTTAAAAACGCAACACATCAATGTTCCTCCAAAATTGTTTTTTCCCAACTTGCTATTTATAAATTCAATAACTTGTTTCGGTACTGACCAGGCGGCACGCCGATGCAAGTCTGGTACGTGTGAAAACTTGTATTTCTTATTAAGTTATTATTAGAATTTGGAAGTAACATAGTTTTGTACAAACATTAATCAAAATTTGTCGACGAATGCATCATCAAACACAAACCTGGAAAAATATAATCTAATATGATAATTATAGAAAACCTAACAAAACCATTTTACAAAGAAAAACAAACAGGATCCTCAAGAGTGTGCATCACCTAACCATTTGTTCTTTGTTCAGGCAGTGTTTGAATCGCCTAACCATTTGTCTTTTGTTCAGGCAGTGTTTGAATCACCATTTAAGTCTTGAAAGAAAGATTTGACCCCTTCATAAGTGGACCAACAGATTGCTGCTGCAGGAGCATGGAAGAGCATTCTCGGTAGCCAACCCCTTATAAGTCCCCTGTATCCGTCTTTCTTCACAATCGTTCTTAGTACATCGCTGATCGAACTGCTAGTGAAGCGGTCGCATCCACACACACCCTGCACATCACCACAAATGATTGAAGCCATTTCACACATTTTAGAGCAAAGAATCATTGACATAGGCACATCGCTGATCGTGACATTGTTCTCTCTTAAACTTGATACCAAGTCCAATAAAAGTCATGCAAGAGATATCCAAACTCGACCAAGACACACTGCTGTTCCATATGCAAACCCACAAAAAAAAAATCAAAAACGTACATATGCAAAGGGCATACAAGTATTATACACTTCAAATCTTTATCATCTCTCGAAATTCTAAAGCTTTTTACACCTGTACATCTGAAAACTGTTTGATCCTTCTTCATATTTCACCTCATAACCTCACATTTGAAACGAAACAAAGCGAGAAACTATCTTCTACATTCCTTAAAAGCTATGCTACAGAAATACAATGCATGCCGCTTTAAGACCGAATCAGTGAGAACTCAACTAGGTAACAAAATAACTGCTCTTACACACAAAAACCAAAAACCTACTGGTTGAAACATCTAACCATTGAAACCAAAGAACTGCTCTTAGATCCTTTTAGCACTATACTATGTTCTATAAGCTTAAACTGCAACCACAAAATTAAATTGCAGCTCTAGGACATGATTACCATCTGCCACTGGTCTGATAATTCTTTTTACACAAGTTACTATTCACAGAAGACAACATCTAACAACTCAAATTGAAACAAGTCCATCTAAGAAGCCTTTGAACTATAAGTTGAGTTTCGTGACTAAGTCTAAAAACAGCTAAAGCTGCAGCATTCAGCAACACTCCACACAATTTATATCCTTTACCACTAAGTAACACCACTGTGTATCTAATCACATTGCCTCCATCATTCTATCCAAAGCAGTATAGTTTAGAGACAGAGAAAAAAAATCAAATCTTAAGTGAAGGAATCATTCACCTGACATTGCAACTGCGTCTTAACAACATCAAGCGGCGTCGTCACAGCAGCTGCCAATCCACCAGCGGCTGCTCCTGCAGTAGCATGAACCAACCAACCTTCCTCATCACTAACTCTTTCGGGCGAAATCTCCATCAACGCCTTCTTAGCCGCCTCATACGTTGCGAAATGAACCGCAGTAAAAGGAGCGTTCATCAGAACCGTGGTCCTATAAGAAGCGTAGAACGCACCGATCCCTTCCTCACGCATAACCCTCTTCACACAATCCCAAACACCTTTGTATGTCCCTTCTCCCATCTGCAACCTCTGCTTAACCATATCCATAGGAGTAAAAACTGCGTCGCTTGAAATAGTTGCGAAGACGCCGGAGATCGCATGCGCGGCGGAATTGTTCTGATTCCCGGATAAAAACTTCTTCGAAACCTCGTAAAAGGAGAAATAAACGGCGTGAGCAGGTCCGGCGCCGAGACCCATAGCCCATATCCCTCGGTAAAGAGCCGAAGGTCCTTCCTTTTGGATAATTGAACGGAAAGCTTGCCGGATTCCGACAGGTTTTAACGGACATGGTCGGAGCGCTTGCATATGGGTCTTTATGGTGTCGACGGGAAACATCGCCATATGTTCAACGGAACCAGCAATCGAACCCGCAATCATGAATTGCCAGAACTTGAGACCGTCGTGAGCGATTTCCGGTCGAAAATCCGGTGTCTGAGAGACCGGTCGGAGATCTGGCTCCTGGAATTTGGGTGCGGTTGTAGCCTCCGTAGCCATGTGGAGATTCGACCGTAAGATCGGAAGGCCCTTTGGTAGTTGGAACTCAGCGGCGGAGACAAAAGACTAGGAGGAGAGACACAGTAAAAGTAGGGTTTTTTCGGAGGAATGAAACCAAATCGGAATGTGGAAACACCGACGAATAGAGCCGGCGGTCACACACGCCGCGAAAATGGTGTA